TCGGAAATGGACTAATTAAAAGGGTTAAAAGTGAGATACCCTGTCAGCTAAATCATTCTCTATGTAATGTCTGTATTAACAGACCTTGCTCAATTTGATTCCATTTTCTAGCCTTCTCGAAAAACACTGCTGAGTAAGAGATTATTCTAAATATTGTTTTTAAAAAACGGCTACGATCTCTAGAGTTTAGTTAATGATCGACTGGAAGTGGTTCTAGATTCCACGTATTATATATTATTGCTGTTAATAGTTAACAAATGATGCATTACAAGAGTCTTAAGCTTCAGCTGTGCCCCAATCTCGGGACATAGTCAAGACAATGGCTGTGGCAGTTTTGTTGGCCAGTTGCGGGGCCGTTTTTAGGCCTACGGCTAAGTTATTGCTATCGCACAATCTGTTGCAACTAATAGGAAGTTGGGGCTGCGCAAAGAGAAAAAACATCTTACAGCACTTTTCATTGGCATTGTGAAAGCCTTGGTCAGCAATTATCTAAGTCAGGCCATTGTTCGTACCGCCGATCTCTTGACTTTGACTAATTTGCAAAAACAAGCAACGAGCATCGGATCGAGCGCTCCCTGCCCCATGCCCCATGCCCCATACCCCATACCCCATACCACATGCAACCACAACAAGAACGGTGCAATCGACGGCCCCCATTGCCTGTCATCTGTCATCTGGAGCTGGCGCTGTAGCTGAAGCTGCAACTTGTGGTACAAGGATACGTAAATCTAGACAAGCCGCAGCAATAAATTCTAATGAGCAAATCGCAAAAGGAAATGCAGCGTTCTCGTTTTGTTTTTTTTTCTTTCCTTTTACATTTGATTTTTTTTTCCCACTTTTTATGCACTCGCCTTGTCTTTGGGCTCAGGATGTTGTCGTAGGCAGATTTATGTGGCAGGCAATGTTGCAGCTGTGAATGCCATTTGTCCAATTAGTCAGCCCAGGAAGCCAGCCGTACCCCATATATCCATATATCTATAGAGTTTAGGGGGAGATGGAGGGTGTCACTGAGCTGACTTTTGTGAATGCAACTTGTTAAATTTAGCGCATTACAATGCTTTCATAAATTTTGCGCCTATAATGTTGATTTCTAATCTTCGATGATGTCATGAACAATAGCTCACCGTTCTAACAAAATATATGCTACATACACCTATCTAAACACCTATAAATAATCAGTTTTCGTTGCGGTCAATCGGCGCAGAGTTTTTTCTTGTTTATTGTGATTTGATTTTTATTTCTTGCTTTTTGTTTTTTTTTGTCTTCTTTTTTTTTTAATTTTTGCCAATTGGGTTTTTGCACGTCACCTCGCACAGAACCAACAATAAGAACAATAAAAAATCGCCGTGTCTAGATTGTAGAGCAACAACAACATTTACGCCAGATAAATTTAAAAATAAATTTGAATCGAAACAAATAGAAACGAATCAATGATCATTTGTGTACGGCCCAGTAAACAAACACAAAGTAAAAATCACTGCAAAATAAATTGAATTAAGCCCTTGTGCTGAGCATTGCGTCACTTACAAATGTCATTTACACGATTTCAAATATAATTAAATTAGCTTTGACTACGGATTTTCTATAAATTCAAATTGTGAAATAAAATTTATACAATTGATATATCGTATATATTAAGCACACGCATTGTTGGCTTACGCATCTTTTTAGTGTTTGCCCAAATAATTTGCATAGTTGTGTTGAATCAACAACAGCGTCTCAAGCTCTGGGTGCGACTTTTGCAATAACTTTTGGCTCTTTTGTTGGGGAAGGTTTCCATTTCAATTAGCATGCCTTATTTTGCGGTCAGTCTGGGGTCAATTAACTCCCCGACGGCACCGGCATTGATTGGAAAGCAAAAGTGTGAGCCATTCATCAACATCACGTTTCAACGAGGCGGAATAATCGCATAAAAGCATTTAGGAGCATGCAATCGATTTGTCTTCAAGCGAAATCTCTCATCCCATGCTCTTAGACATTGTTTGTGGCGTTCATTAAATATTTTAGCAAATTAAAGAAAATACTTTAAACACAATTTAAATATAGTATAAATATTTTCTTTTTTCATATTAATTGAATAATGATTCATTTGATTAATTATGTTTTCAATAAGTTTTAATAGGTTTTCACTCTCTTTTTTGTTACTCATTTTCTTATTTTGGCAATGTTTTATTATCAGTCAATAATATTTTATTTACTTGCTGAGCATATCAAATGTTTGAGCATATATTTTCACCCCAGTCAAATTGTTATGCTCGTTGCCTTAACTGTGTCAATAGCCGCATTTATGAGTTTGGCACTCGCTCGAAATAAAAAAACGCGAATAACCATATGCCAAATTCAAATTGATTTAAAATCTTGTCATGCCTTCAGTCAAAAAATCAACAGCAAACCAACCAAAATAAAAAAAAATATTGCTGAAGCCGCCTCTATAAAAATATAATCAACATTTGCATAGAGTTGTGAATGAATGCTGGCATGTAAAAAATGAAAAAAAAAACAAAATCTTACAAACGAGATTCGATATGGTTTTTGGCCAAACTAAATCTGTTTGGACAATACCTGAGGTTATTTACGATTTCTTTTGTGTATGCAAACACTTGTTTTTGCTTTTAATTGCCGGCTCGATTATATAAGTTAAATGGTATGCATATGTATACATCTTTATAACATCATATCACGCATTTCACACATAATTTTAATAAACACCTCCACAAATTGATTATGACTTCATATCTTAGCTAGTATTCTCGCCATTGTCTAGAAAGTTTTCTTTGCAAACTGATTCAACATGCAGGAAGTTTTGATCCGTCGTCGTCATGCGCTATAAGAAACAACATTTGCTCATTTCTTACTTGGGAAAAACGATACTTGGCTATTCGAGCGATAAGCTTTCTGAGTTTTAGCTAGACAGCTTGGTTCCGTTTCATTAAATGTGATCATTCGAATTCAAGCATATTGTTTACCAGCCCACACTCACAGTAGTAGTCAAGTTTATTGAAAGTGTGACTAATTCATAATGAACAAAAGTGCAAATTTATTGCTGCAATTCGTCAACAGGAAATTTAAGGCAGTAACTAAACAATAGATTAGACATTTTCATATTTATATTATGTTTTAAAACAGCAAGAATATTTCGCTATTTTTCTCTAGTATTTTCTCTGACAAGCTTTCAACACTTATCTATTTCTGAAATCTTATTTCAGCTACAAGTTAATATGATATTTTGTATATTTTAATATATGTACAATTTTTTACTTTATTATTCTCCTCTGTTGTTTTATCTCTACTAAACTATACGCTTTCTATATTCTGTCTAATGTTTAACTGTCAATTTCCTTACTTTTTATACCCACGCCGAGTTCCTATTTTAGCTACAAGTTCATATGTTGGAAATATTTGTATTTTTTTTGGGCCTGCCCTTCAAAGTCACTGGCCATGCTGGCTGTGGCTGTGGCGTTGTCTGGCCAGCTTTTAATTTAGCAAATGGCCATTGGGTGCAGCGTCAGGAGTTATGAAAGACAAGAACCTTGGGGCACGCGATGTCTGTTGTTCTCATTGTGGTTGTATTGGGGGTGTGGCCAAATTGCAGCAGAGAATGGCTTTGGCTACAATTGTGCAACTAATTCCCTTTGGGATTGGGCGTAACCACGCAAATGGGCGTATGTGTAATCTTTACCCGGATGAGATGGCCAAGATTTCTGTTGTTCCTGCTGTTGCTATTTGCTATTTGCTGTGTCTGTTTGCTTATTATTGTTCACACATTAAGCAAGCGTCGACACACATAATTTCATGTTGTCCGGTAATTGTTCTGTAAATGCACCAATAATTACTTTCAATGCGCCAATAAAAAGAAGAAAAAGAAAAAGAAAAAAATGCAGAAAGCAGCAAAGCCAAGACAGATAGAAGACAGCAAGCGGCAGTTGGCCGAGTGAATCTGCGTCAATCAGTGGCATTGGTGCGCGCAGCAGGAGCTGTGCTTCACTTGAATCTCAGTCTGAAGCTGCAGCCAACATTTGATCAATCAAGCGCTCGGCCATGGCAATCAACGGCTTGAAAACTGAAAGCACACCGGTGAAAAGTAGGTGACCAGCCAAAGCAGACGACGCCAATGCAGGCGACGTCATCATCTTTACCATCGTTACACTCAACAAAAAAAAAACAAGCGTCGTTTTTTATCTGTTTTTTTTTTTTGAGAAAAATTATAAATTATTATTTAGTTGAACAATTGTGCGCCTTTCGAGGCTATAGCTCTTCCATCAATCCCGTTTCTTGCAGTTTCTTGAGTTAGCTTAGATATGTTTCTCTAGATAACTACACCTTCTTTTGGCTAAGTTGACGAAATATTTTATGTGAGTATTCCTCCTTGACTTAACCCAGTTTAACTATGTGCCATCTTAGTCATATCGAGGGACCTCTGAGTATTCTAAGTCTGTTCTGTGTTAGAGCTATTGCCTCTGTCCAGCTCGATGACGCCAATGTCTCTGCCTTTCTCTCTCTCTCTCTCTCTCTCTCTCTTGCTTTGTCTCTCTCTCTCTCTCTCTCGCTCTTTCTTCGCAATCCCAAGCATATATTAAGTATTTCTACTTTTTGAAAATATTTGTCATTTTTTAATATAACAGAAATATTTCCATTTAAACATTTTGAAAGCGCTTTTCTCCACATCTTAGCCATATTTTTCTCCATGTGCAGTTTTGATGCGATTCGTGGCTGGCAATCAAGTTGACCGGCTGCTGGCTGCTGGCTGCTGTCCTCGTTGCTCGCCTAAACGAAATCGTCTGCTGACTTTCAATGCAAGCCACCGTCACTCACTCAAAAATGTTCTATGGTCGTTGGTATCTGCTTCTTTCTCTTTTCTTTTTCTTTTTCTTTTTTTTTACTTTTTTTGTTGGTCCCGTCCATAAACAACTTTTACTGCGTAGTGCGGTAGTCGCGGGACTCAACGCTTACTTTTCTTTATAACTTACTTTAATTATAATTGCAACTTGGTCTCCTTGCAGATCGATGACGCAGCTATTCAGGTGTACAAGGATGGTGACTTTGGCGCCTATCTGGATCTGGAGTCATCGCTGGCCGAGCAGACCGAGGAAATCGAGGGCCTACAAGACGGGTAAGTGCCAACAGAGTCGCGCCCACAATAACTAATGAGCCAAGACACTCAGCAGACAGACAAATAGTTAAGTTGCTGCCCACATACACAAACACACAAACACACAGACAGAAGTACTTAGTGCAGCTGTGCTGCACTGTGAACACCCACACGGCTTAATTGGAAAAACTGCAAATGATTTATTGTTATCGCAAAATATTGTCAGCGATTTTCACTTTTGTGCACTGCTTACCTTGAACCCATTTTCTTTTGGCGTTGCAGGAAATGCAGCAGCTCTGGGTTTCTGGGGCAGCTGCTCGTGGGTGGCTGCGCCTGTTTAGCCTTTCACCACACAAAAGCCGTCTATTACACACACACACACACACACACACACACACAGCGATGCACCGATGCCTTTTCCATTTGCTAATAAAGATATTTGCCAGGCCAGGCGGCTGTTGGACTCCGGCCATAAAAAAATGTCGCTATCTGTGGCACAGGAAACTGCTGCTGCGGCTGCCGCTACTTTGGCTGTGGCAGCAATGACTGCCTGACTACCTGCCTGGTTGAGTGCTTGAGCACCTCGTGAACTGGCTGACTGCCTGGCAGTTGCTACTCACTGGCCAGAAATTTGCATTTTGCATGCCTCCGCAGCTTGGCGTCGTACGTGCAACTTGTTGCGATTTTTCTTCTTTTTTTCTTCTTTTATTTTTTGGTTGCAACTTGCACTTCATTTGCATTTGCAGCCACAAAAGAAATATAAATGGGAGCAACAAAAGCTTAAATATATACGTAGGCAATGGCATTTTGAAAATTATACATATATTTTTATTTTTGAGCTCAGCTTTGCTCATAACTGGCCACAGACATGATGCTTGTCTGGCAGCCACTTTGGAATGTTCTGCTCTAATCTTTTTGGCATGCGGAGAGCTTTAATAGCCTGTTGGCCAACAACAAGTGGGTAGCAGACAGACACTCCTAACTGATTGTGTTAGCCATGCACAATTTTCTAGTTTTATTTATTGTGTCATAAAAAAGTATTAGAATGAGAGTGAACTGAAAATGGAAGTGGCTGTTGGGAAACTTGGGTGGGAAGAACATAATCAAATGCAAAAAATATTAGAAAATGAGAGTGGCAAGGAGGCTGTCTGGAAATGAAGTGAACAAATGAACTGAAATGAGAAATATGCCGTTTAATATGCACTCAATCTTGTGCAAGTGCTGTCTGTGCAACAGACTATTCATATATCTAAGCTCTATGAGAGAGAATTAATATAAAGTCAGCTCCTTTCGTACATGCACCGAATACTCTAAAGCGTATCTTTTGGTTGATCAGCGGTTGACCAAGAAACGTGATGTCAGTCTAAAGTAACTGCGGAACGCGTCAGGCCAAGGGCCAAGCTAAGTAGCTTGGGAGCCTGCAGATTGGACGTGGTTCCGCGTCAGGCAGTGCTCAAATAATGGGATTAATATAAATAAAGAGTGGAGTACATAGAACCTGTCAGGGACGAGCTGATGCGGAGTCTATTCCAGACTTTCACTAGCTGCTGGTATTGCTGCGATCCTCAAGCATTATAAAATTACAAAGTAAATGTCGCCGTGGCTGTGGCAAGCTGTGCAAATTGTTGGCAGTTAACATAGTGGCGCCAATGACTGTTCTTGGCTAGAAGTGGACTTGGTGCTTGATGTGGTCTGGTTTGGCTGCAGCCACTAATCATGCTTATCGTATTAGTCATGGAAGCGCGCTTGCATGCAAATCATTCGCTTCAGTTCGCATCAAAATTCCACAACAGGCACGAGACTCACTCGGATGGGTCGATGGCTCGATAGCTCGTTGTTGCCTTGTCAATCTGCAACTGAGCCAAAAGACACTTGTGTCTTATAATCACATACACTAACAGAGGTGTCTGTCTGTGTGTGTGTGTGTGTGTGTGTGTGTGTTTGTGCACCTTGAGTCGAGTTGAATTGAGTTTGAGTGGTGAGCACATTTCATTATGAATTCCCGACTCGACTTATTGGCGGCTATGTTGTTCGCCCAGATGCTTCATAGTCCATTTTCAATTATCTGCGTCGTTTGTTATTACTTTTATTATGGCCAACAGTTGGCCAGCAAACAGCGGGTAATCAATGTTCTTAACTGGTCAATGAACCACACGGTATCCCATTGTGTTTTACTCTTAGTTTTGTTGCGCCTTTCTGCTGGGTTGGGTTGGGTTTGGTTCTGTTTTTTTTTCTTTTTCGTTGTGTTGTATTTTGTTTTGTTGCCCATTGCTAATGAAATTACATACAAAATTAATAACAATTTTTCTCTTCTACTATCTCTCTCTCTCTCTCTTTCTCTGTCTCTCTCTTGCAGTCGCAAAAACTCATTGGTCATTCGCACACAGCTGAGTGTTCGCGTTCATGCCATTATAGGTAAGTGCAGAGTCCATGATTTGGTCTTCGAGATCAGCTAATCAAAAAATATAAAAAAAATCGAATATTGCGCATACGCCTCATTGACCCCATTACATTATGTGCTTGCAGAGAAACTACTCTCGTCGGAGGGCAGCGATCTGCGCAGAGCATTGTTCTCCCTCAAGCAGGTGTTCCAAGAGGACAAGGATCTGGTGCACGCCTTTGTCGCCATGGGCGGTCTCAATTGTCTGGTGCGCGTCGGCAATTGCTCCGATCAAAACTATCAAAACTATATACTACGCGCCCTGGGACAGGTGAGTGAACAACAACAACAGCAACAATAACTGGTCGCTGATCAGTGATCGATGTTCACAACAAGTCATTGCTAATCATGTCTTTGTACGCGACAGGTCATGCTCTATGTGGATGGAATGAATGGCGTTATGAAGCATCAGCCCACCATGGAGTGGCTCTACTCATTGATCGCATCCAGTTACAGATCGGTGGTCAAGACAGCGCTCAAGTTGCTGCTCGTATTCGTTGAATATGCCGAGTCCAATTGTTATGTGCTTGTGAGCGCCATTCATGCTGTGGATGAAGCACAAGGCACATTGCCCTGGGCAAATATAATGAGGTAAGTGATCGCTGATCGATACGGAAGTTGAACTGTCAGAAACTAGAATTCTCTCTCAGAACTTGGCTTGAACTACAAGTCATATTTTTAGTGCAACAGATTTAAAATCATTTTATGTACAATTTAGAGTATTATCAAATAATTTGATTATTTTTATTTACTTTGACTTACTTTAACCCTTATGCTTTCCAGACTGCTTAAGGACTACGACAATGCAGATGCCGAGCTGGTCATCTATGCAACATCGTTGATCAATAAAACACTAGCGGGCCTGAACGATCAGGATAGTTTCTACGATGAGAGCGATCTGCTGGAACAGCAGGGCATGGATACGGTTATCCAGCGTTACATGTCCAAGCCGGGCACCGATCTCGATCTGCTCGATCAACTCCAGTTGTACGAGGCAGTTCTAAAGTAAGCAGCTAACTCTAATTAATACACACATCAATTACTAAACACAACTGCATATTTTAGATTCGAGGATGGCGAGTCGGACGGACAGCGTTTGCCACAGAATTCAATGCGAAAGACGCAACGCCATCGTCCCGGCGCCAACACAACAGAGCGACGCAAATCGCGACGCCACAGCACGGATAATAGTCCAGCGCCGTTGACCAAAGTGCTGCCCACATCGGTGCTAAGAACGACACCGGTACAGGCCACACTCGACGAGGATGACAGCTCGGGTTCCACAAACTCCACGGAGTTTAGCAGCGGCATATTTCAGGAGAAGAAACGTAAGCTTCAAAATGATTACCAAACTATTGAAATGGAGTCCTAATTCTCCTTGGCTACTTGCAGCACGCGATGGCGCTGGTGTAACACCGGGACTGCGACGACGTCGGGAGCGTGCCGAGCGGCACAAGAGCTTCCTCAAGGAGCAGGGAGAGGCGGCTGCGAATCGCATCTTTGCTGCACGAGAGCTGCGTGAAAACTACGGTGAGTTGTTTTTGCTTTCGGGAATTGCTTTTACTTTTTGCCGGCTGCTTTGAACACCGAAACTAACTAACTGATTCTCTCTCCATGCTAAACGCTGTGTGTGTGTTTCTTGATCTTGATCTTGATCTATGTTGTCTCATTGTCACCTGCTGATCATGCTAACCCAATGTCACCCATCAAGGCCAAATTGTAACCGCCATTCCTGCAACCATTCAAAGTGGCGACAGCCCGCCGCAATCATTGCAAATTGAGCTGCCGCCGCCCCCGTCGCCGCCAACGTCGCCCACGATCACGCCTCCAATCACGCCCTGCAACCTCATCAGCAATAGCAACAACAACAACAATAGCAACAGCAACAGCAGCAACGGCAATAGCAACAACAACAACCAACAACAACACAATCATAACAACATCAACAACAGTAACAACCACATTGACACGCCCAACAACAGTTTGCTGCTGAGCCCCACTAAGCAGATGCTAAGTGGCATCAATAGCATCTCCATCATCAACAACAGCTTCGACAAGGCGAACAACAACAACTACAATAACAACACTAACAATCAGAATGAGTTCCTTACCAAAAAGAATCTGTTTCGGGAGCGCAACGCAACTGTGATCAATGGCATCATGAAGAACATTGTGCAGCAGACAACCGATAGTGCCTACAAAAAGTATGAGAACGATGCAAATCGATTGAACAACTACTACACACAGCTGAGCCAGTCGCCCAAGCATCAGCCCACCACCGCCCAGGATGTGCTCAGCCCGAAGAAGACACTAAATGGAAATGGTTTTGAGTTTTTGCCTGAGAGTTCAACGCCCCTAAAATTGGATGTGCTGCCAGTGCCGGAACCACTGAGTCCCATACACAAGCCTCTAGCTGTGGCAGCACCACCACCACCGCCGCCACCTCCACCACCACCACCACCACCAGCAAGCTGGTGGCATTTTCCCCCAGCCAATACCAGCATTCAGCCAATTGCAGCTAGAACCCTAACCAGTACTAACCCAGAACTACCACAACAGTTGCCTCCACTACAAGCTATGGATACAACAGGTAGGTTTTTTAAGCTTTCAGTGAGAAATTGTTGCATGCTTTCAGGCGCTGCCACAAAATCCATCATTGTACTCGTCGCTGTTGCATTCTTTTCTGTGTCATTCGAAACAAAACAAATGTATTCTAGCTTCTATTGACAATTTGCACTCTTTGTACACAGATCTGGAGGATAAGGAAATGCTAATGCAACTGAAACGTGATCATACCGTCAAGGATCTAACACATAAATTGAGCAATCTGCCCAGCAGTCCCACACAGGAGGCGGGAAATCGCGCCATAGTCGGCGACATGTCCGGCCTCATATCGAAAGCCAAAGAGGGGCTTGCCAAGAGCAAGAGCAAGGGTGAAATTTCACGGTAAGTTCATCAAGCAAGGGCCAAAATCTATTAGTGGATTTTGGAAAAGGGTGTTGGTGGGGGTTGGGCAGTATACCTTCACCTTGACCGCTAGAGTAGGTCACCCATTTGCTTTATCAGCGATTGGCAACCTTTTTTTTGTACTCTGTTTCTATAGAGATAAGGGTATTTTTGGCTTATGCAAGTTTTTACTACTGCTATCAGTTCATAAACATTTTATTATATTTCTTTTAGTATTTTGTATCAGAAAACAAAGCAAAAGCAAACATTTTCAGTTTGAAAATTTAAGAACAATTAAACAATGGTTCTATTTATATTTAACTCTTGCAGTCCTCAAGTCTATTTACTATTTGTTTGTAGCTCTAATTTTGCAGAGTATCTAGAAGTTGAGAGCTTTCAAACGCAATAATCTTTTTTTTTTCTATTATCTCAAGCTGTCTAATCTTTCAGCTTTTCAGCTTAAGAGTGCTTTAAGAATCTTTTTGACTGATATATACAATTTTTTCAGAATGATACTTTTAATGATTTGATCTTTTTCCGGTTAAAAGCTGATAGCAAGTTTGAAAATCATAAAATTTGGCTTATGTGCTTGCGTATTATGTGGATTTCATTTATTTAGTCAAATGTTTACAGTGGAAGAGATCTAAGCGTATTTGGGTGCGTACTTCTCATAGGTGGCAATGTAGGCAGCCTTGGCGGCATCCTTAGACATGCCCTTGTGCTTGTTCCATGCGTTCCACTTGGCCTTGGCCTTCAGATCCAGTGCACCGGGCTCAGCGACGTTGATGTCACCAACTGTGGCCTGCTTGAAGAGACCGTAGAACTCCAAGAACTCATCGTTCGTTGGGGTCTTGCTGAAGTTCTTGGCTTTCTCGGCGGCGGTGTTGAACTGCTCAAATTGTATAGATCCGCATTAGAATCGAATATCCATTGAATGCACAATTTTGTGGAATACTTACATCCATGTTGTCTTATACTTCAAGTGTTAGTGACTGCTAATTGTTTAATAAGCAGGTCTTTTTATACAAAAATTGACAGCTGATACGGTTAGCTGATATCGATTTATGACATTATACCCCTTTTTTTTAGATATAGATATGATAAGCCCGATTATATTTGTCATGTCCACGTCTGCGCAAACTTCTACGGCGGCAAAATATAAAACACACAACTTTAATTACTAATAATATAATATACAAAAGTATCAAAGGTCGTCCATTTAGTTTATCAGCATTGGGGGCTGACTAAGCAGCCCATTTTATGGGCCACTTGTTTTATTATAATGCAACAACGTGTTTGCGATATTAGCTCAATTTATGTATAGATGGGAGCGTATTTCTCATAGAGGACAATGTAGGCGGCCTTGGCGGCATCCGTGGACATGCCCTTGCGGCTCAGCCAGGCATCGTATTTGGCGCTGCCCTCGGCATCGGCGGGTCTCTCGATGTTCACATCGCCAGTGTGCACCTGCTTGTAGAGGCCATAGAATTCCAGATAAACATCATTTGGTGGCTTGGTGCTGAAGGCCTTGGACTTTTCGCAAATTGCCTCGAACTGTAAAGTCAATAAATGCGAATCAATAAATCATATTGTAGTCCATTTCGAGTGCGCTTTACTTACATCCATTTTGCTTGCGATTTATAGAAAGACTATGATTTGTTGTCCACAAATCGCCCCTTTTTATAGGCGCTGCACAGACTGTAAAATTAAATCTTATCATTTGAAAGCACTGCCAAATCAAATAAATCGTATCATAAAACAAAAAGTTCATAAAAATAGGCGGCCTTTAAAATTTATGAAAGGCATTTTATGCAGCCTTATGCAATGCTTCAATATTTCAATATAAGTTGAAATTATACCCATTTTCTAGATCTCTTTCAACTAGAAAGTTACTTTCTGCTCGTGTGTGTGTTTTTTTTTTCTTTTCTTTTTGCAATCATTTGTTATCGTGCTACCAGGCAAAAAGTGTGATAAGGTTTATGGGGCATTAGCTTTTAGGGGGCAACTGCAATCAAATAATCGAACGATCGCGGCTAGCAATAACTCTGATATTCTATTTTTTGCACTTTGTAATGTCCAGTTTTTGTTTTTATCTCACGATTGTACAGCTCATCGAGCGTCGATCAGGAACTGAAAAAGTCTGAGCCGAAGAAATCGGAGAATGAACTACACTGGGAGGAACTGGTGCGCAATATGACGCGACCCCTGAACTTATGTGATCTTGACTTTACCGATCTGCATTCGGACGATGAAAAGGATGTGTTGGCGCCCCGTGGTCTCGGCGCAGGCATACCGCCACCACCACCACCCTTTGGTGGTGGCATGGTGTTGCCACCGCCCATGATGCCACCCTGTCTGGCACCGCCGCCCATGTTCAGCTACGGCGGCTACGGCGCCGGCAGTCTTACAAACAGTGTAAATAGCTCGCTGAATGGTTCTGTGAATGGCGATCTGGCCAATGGCAATACTACTATCAAAAAGAACAAAAAGACGGTGAGTAAACTTCCTCATCAAATAAAGAAACAATACAGGAAATAATTGTATCTGTAACTGACTAATACAACTCATTCAACTTTACAGGTTAAGCTCTTCTGGAAGGAAGTGCGTGAGGATATGATACCGCAGGTGGTGGGTAAAACCATTTGGGATGAGCTACCCAATGCGAATGTGGACACCCAGAAGCTGGAGCATCTCTTTGAGTCACGGGCCAAAGACTTGATGACCAAGGTGTGTATTTGAAAAGCAATTACATCAGGGGTATTCCTGCAAGTGTGTATTTAAATTAATTGGCGCGAGATTATCGAAATTATTAGCGATATGTGTCAATGATAAGTCTCTTTTAAAGTAGTTTATACATTTTTAATTGTAGTATAAATGTTTGCATAACATACAATGATTTTCTTGCGAATGATATTTGTATTCTTTTCCCATTTATTTCTGGACATGTTTAATAATTTTCTATATGTCAACGGTCTGTTTGCGGATATATCTACAAATACATAAATGTTGTGCTAAAACCAAAACCAAAACCAAAACCAAAATATAAAAATACTCAAAAATTAAAATAAAAAAAATGTTTCCAAATGTTCTAGGAGGTGAGTGCCAATTGTTATGTTCTTACACTTATTACTCGCTCTCTCTCTCACTCTGTCTCTCTCGCTCTCTCTCTCTCTCTCTCTGACTCTCTTTCACTGTGTTTCTATGTGTTATCGATCGGTTTTTTTGTTGTTAGTTTTCACTCTGTGTTGCACCTGGTGTCGGTTTATTACGTCTTTTATGTTATCAACACACACACACAAAATATATATATTTTTATACACACACACACTTGAAATCGGAATCAGAACCACAAAATATAATTTGTAGTTTAGTTTTTCTTGTGTTTTTTTTTTTCTTTTTTCTTGTTGCCACCATTAGATACATTGTGTACACGCCCCCCTTTATTCCCCACATGAAACATTTACAAAGCCATCCCCCCGTTATCTCTTCTGGTTTTGCTAACTCTCATTTGCCTTGCAGAAACAACAAGAGTTGAATAAGAGCAAAGAGATTATCGTCCTGGATCACAAGCGCTCCAATGCAATCAATATTGCAATGACAAAGCTGCCTCCGCCGCGGGCAATCAAGGCGGCCATTTTGAAGATGGATGCCACTGTGGTCACGAGGGAGGGCATTGACAAGCTGCTGAATATGCTGCCCACGGATGAGGAGCGCGGCAAGATTCAAGAGGCACAGTTGTCGAATCCAGACTTGCCGCTTGGCAGTGCCGAGCAATTTCTCCTCACCTTAGCCACCATCTCAGAGCTGGGCGCTCGTCTCAAGCTCTGGGCTTTCCGGCTGGACTTTGACAATTGCGAGGTAAGCTCAATTGGAGTATTCTCAAGATCAAGATCTTCAAGTAACGCTCTCATTTTCTTTTGCCTACCTGCAGAAAGAGATTGCCGAACCGCTGATGGATCTCAAGCAAGGCATTGAGATCTTGCGTCAGAATCGCACCTTCCGCTGCATACTCTCCACTTTGCTCTCCGTGGGCATCTTCCTCAATGGTGCTCCTGTGAAGGGTTTCCAGATCGAGTATCTGGCCAAGGTGCCGGAGGTGAAGGATACGGTGCACAAGCACTCGCTGCTGCATCATCTCTGCCACATGGTCATGGAGACGAGCAGTGACACCAGTGATTTATACTCGGAAATTGGTCCAATTACGCGTGCCTCGAAAGCGGACTTCACAGATCTCGCACAGAATCTCAATCAATTGGAGGCGGAATGCAAGGCCTCCTGGGATCGCCTAAAGCTAATAGCCAAGCATGAATGTGCACCGAAGCTTGTCGACTTCCTGGCCGATTGTGCCGAGCGCATCATTAGTCTGCAAATTGTCCATCGGCGTGTGATGAATCGCTATCGCAAGTTTCTACTGTGGCTGGGCATGCCCCAGCACAGTGTGGCCGAGTCGCGACCCAATGAGTTCTGTCGCACACTCTCCGAGTTTGCGCTGGAGTATCGTACGACGCGGGAGCGTGTGCAGCAGCAGCTGGAGAAGAAGGCCAATCATCGCGAGCGCAATAAGACGCGTGGCAAACTGATCATTGACATGGCCAAGTTCAAGACCAAAGAGGATGTCGCCGATGCAGAGCTGAAGTGAGTGCAAATCTTGATGCATCTCTACTTGCTGATACTGATTCTCTCTCTCTCTCTCTCTCTCTGTCTCCGCCTGTATCTGATCCACAGACAACTGCTGGGCACTCCCACTCCCGATCAAACGGATGGCACCCTCACCTGGCGTCGCCGTCGCGCTGAGCAGCTGCGCTCACCGATCGCTCGTCAGAGTGAGGAGCAGTTCACCGATGGCGATGATGAAATACTCGAATCTCTCGTCAAGACCGTCACGAAGACGGCCGGGACTAGAACGACGCCCAGGGAGCGAAAGCGTACGCGTCATGCGGACCGCAAATCCTGTAAGTTGTTGTCGTTGTCGTTGCTCTGACCAGGCAACACACGCCTTGTTTCACTTCAGCCCGTGTTGGCCAAAATCAATTTTAACGAAGCTGTTGGTTTATCTTTTGGAACACACCCACACACACACAGCGCGCTATGTTTAGTACAACATTAGCTGGCCACAAACACTCGACAGACACACACACTCAAGCAAATTTGAGGCTACGTAATGAAATAATCTAAAAAAAAAAAAACAACAAAAAAGAAAACAGCAAAAACCATACACTAATTGAAAGTATTTATCCCCCTACTTAAATTTTACCCCATCCATTAGTTTTTGGCACTTTTCAGTTTTGGCTAGCTTAGAAATCGGTTGCCAATATTGGTTTTATTTTAATTTTGTGTTTTCTTACCATTAACGCACCTACCAACAAAACCAACCAATCAATCAACCAATCAATCAAATACCGAAGTGAAGCGCAGCCGCACGCGCGAGGGATTCACAGTTGAAAGAGCACCATCGCCATAGAAAGCGTAACCGTTACCAAAAATCAAAATAATAATAATGAAACGCATTACAAATGAAGAACAACCAACCTGTTTGTTTTTTAGGCTTACACTGTTTTTGGTTAGTCTCCAATTGAATTGCACATATGTATCTCAGTACATACAATGCAATCTTTTTGATTTTTGTTCAAGTTTATTTTGTTGAGTTTTTTTCTTTTATTTATTTTTTTTGTTTTGTGTTTTGTCCCGAGCTCCATTTGATTTCGTCTAATTCTGAACTGGATGTCTACAAATGGAGCTCACACACAGTTTTGTTTGCGCCTCGCTCGATACCCAGTTGATCTTTTTAAATGCAAAGCATGCTCCTAACTCAAGTTTTCCAAAACACGTCACTAAATACGCATGATAATCGCACATAAAATTATTTCAGTCTTTAAACAAGTTTTTGAATAACTTGAAATCACAAAATTTGATGGTTGTTTTGATTTGTGTGTTTGCAGTGCGTCGAACGCTGAAGAACGGTCTCACCGATGAGGAGAAACAGCACGTGGCTGCCCTAATACAAACCTATTAGAGCTATGGCAAGCCCCAATGCAATTCCCAAAAAAACCCTAAACCCCCCAGTGACGTCACAAGTCGGGTATGCGTGCACAGACTGAAATTGGCGATCTCATGTGCAGCAGAACGGAGCAGAACAGAAACTGGAAATGTGGAACTGGTCCTAACCGAACCGAATCTCTCCCCAAAATCTGATAACGACAAAGTCCCTTCAAAGTTCTCTTATATTATTTCTGTTATTCGATATTTTCGTTTTTACTTTGTCTAAGTATTACAATTAAACATATTTTTATTGTAACATCAACTGTATTAATAGCCAAACAAATTATATATATATTTTTAGAATTTGAAATCAGACAACATTTTGATAAACACAATTGTCCCACAATTTGAATTTGTACCGATCTGCGACCTTACGAAATTAACTTAATTACTCGTAATTATAACTTAGCCTTAATTTAACAACGAAAATAAATAAAAATACATACATATTTATTAAATTCAATAAAGTTGTCTACTTAAATCCATTAGTGCACGGCTGCTGCACATAATCCAAGCAGAAGCCACGATTATCAATATCATTTGGAGCCTCCACGCCATCCGTGTGGAAGTATAGACGAAATGGACGAACGCTGGCTGTGTGAATAGAATGCAGATATAGATAGATAGATAGATAATATATATATATATGTATATAGTTCAGCTTTCACTTACATTGCACAGTTTTGGCCAACATGCCCGCCTCGGCGCTGAAGGTGCCGCCACAGACGCGATCCTCGCAGTTCGGCAGCGGAGGAATGCGATCTGCGGAGCGTATGCAGCCAATTAGTAGCCAATCGCTAATGCAGCCATTGGTCACCGATCCACCACCGCCACCCACAATGGTTGGTACTGGATTGTTGGAGTTGCCAGATATGGTAAATGCACGCGAACGATTATTCTCCAGATCGGGACACGCATTATACTGTATGCCGCAAAAATTGCGCTCGTTGCGTATGCAAATGCTGTAGTCCTGGTTCGAGAGCTGCCTGCCACCCACCGTATTGTAGTTGAAACTGCGCACGCGACCACTGATCGACGTATAGAACTGCAGGCAGCCCTGATCCGCTCGACTGATGCTGCCACAATGGATTTGCGTAACTCGCACGCGCCACAAGCGTGGAAAACTGGCGCTCGTTATCACAGATAACACAATTGGATTACTCTGGCCAAGGCCAGCATCAATGTACACTAGTAATTGCAAGTTGCAATTAAACAGTGATCATTAATTAACCATCAAAGGACTCACTGTGATCGCCTGTGGAACTGCCGCATATGGTGGGTGTGGGACTGCCGCCCGAGATCAACAGTTGATCCTGACTGCACAAGTGATTGGCTGCCTCAGGTGGCGCTATTGAAAACATATCCAAGTCCAAGCGCAGCTGACAAATGTCGGGATGCAGCTTCTGTACAGTCACCTGGCAACTGCCAGTGCCATCGTAGACATCGGGATGATTGGGATTCACAAAGTACGTGGAGTTTTCCCGAATAACTCCGCCGCAAGTTTGAAGAACTGCAAAAGCGTTTTCGAGTATATTTTTTCAATTTATTGAATATAGGGTCTGGCATGTTGTATTATTATTATTATCGCTATTCTTAAATTGATAAGCTTGTTTATTGGTATTATTATCATTGTAAACAGAACCTACATTAGCTAAGCTATTTAAGTTTTTTTTACCTTTATTATATTTATCTGATGAACCTTGAATAATGATGTACTTTTCACGTTTATCAACAGCTTATGTTTGCCTATATTCAACAAATGTATTAACAAGTCCAACACTTTATAACTTTAAATTAAAAATTTATTTTATTTTCCACTGAATGCATACCCCAATTTAAGTTTTATATGTACTACAACCCCAAAAGTATAAACTTGTATGTGTAGTCAGCCCCTAGACATAAATAAAAAAACTTTAGAAAAATTCTCGATGCACGAAATAATAGTTGTTTGGGTTGTAGTTTCTGTGGTTTGGGCTGTACTACATAAACCAACAATTGGATATATTTTGTGTAAGAGAATTTCTTTAGCTCAATTAGCTTAAATGATTTGATTGTTTACAACTAATTAACACGACTTACACACGCAACAGACGCCATAGCCACCACCGCAGGGTCCAGCGGGAATACCATTTCTGAGGAGGCAATCCTTGCTGGGTATACAGTTGCCCTGCTCGCCTGAGGGTGCTGAACAGCTGCTTGGTCCGATGGGTACCAGGGCGAAAATGGGTAGAACTGCGAAAGGTGAAATCAGCTGTTGAAATGACAAACATCAGCAAAGCCACACCCACATTTCGATTCACGTAGACGTGGTGTCGGCGCTAACCACTTGTTGCCAAAGATCAGATCTCGCCAGCTATTCGTATACGAATTTTGAGGCACTTTTCCCGCTGCCAGGACGAAAAGGCAACACATCGAGATTCCGCTTAGCTGCAGCTGTGTTTTTCCCATTTGTTTTTTTTTTTCTTTTTTGTTCACTTATCACTTTTTAATTCCGAATTGGATCTGGAGATGTGCACGCGTTGCCCCCTGAAACTGTTATGCCTGGCAGCCACGCAGAGGCGACAATTTATTCGGCTTGGTGTGGAAATAAGTTTAATGACCGCAATTTGATGCAGCTTTGCGCTTTTTAGTTGAACAAAGATAATAATGAAAAAAAAAAAGTAAATTTAGCTGAATATTAATTGCAATAACAAAACGCAGCAGCTGAAACAATTAGATGCGCCACAATCAAACAGCCAAATGGTAACAGCTTTGGGCCTAAAACAAATTGAGTCAATGGCATGGCTGCAAGGGGGAGGCAGGTATGTCTGCGGGGATATCCCTACATAATACGAATATTTCACATTTCGTTGTGCTTCCTGTTGCGAATTTGTTTTTCCACACCTTCCACATCGATTAAATGTTGGGCAAGGCCTAACAGAAGTTCGAGCGTGAAAGTGCTTACAATTTTGTTACAACATGCCTGCAAAGCTTTTAACAATAAATAATAATAGTAATAATAATATAACATATGCCTCAACGCATGTATGAAAGCCCCTTAAAACGTCTACGTCATTGCCCCTCCTACGACTAATTTGATTAAAACTACCCGGGAAGTGGGTCAATGTTAGCGCTTGTTTTGCCTAATTTAATTTATTTATTTTGGAGCCCATGCGACTTGTTTCGGATTGCATTTTGTAAGCCCCGTCGTATAGTTCTGTTTTAGATCAAAAAACACAGCGACAGCTCCGATAAGAGTTTGATTTATATAGATTTTATTGATGGTTTTTCGCAAATTCTCATTTCACGGTCGAAATTACTTTATCTTAATTGTTTTCCAGTGGAATTCTTGTGAATGCGGAAAGAAAACTATAAGATAAGAAAAGTAACTAACTTTCTAGATGAATAATTTGGTGTTTCTAATTATAAACATGGCATAAGTTTTGAGGTTAATTAAAAAGCCGCATGTGTTTAAAAATTGGTTCAGTTTTGATAAAGTTTGGACACGTGCCAAGAAGCAATTTTTATTTTTTTTAAGCACATTAAGAAACCATGATTTAGAATGTTTTGACCAGGAAACACAAACATTTTTGGGGAATACAAGCTTAACATGATTTCGAACAAGTCGAACAAGTAAATAAACATGTGAATTTTAATATGTAATGAATTACTTATTTATTTGATTTAGCATCAGCTTTCATTAAAAAAACATTATAAATCGGAAAAAATGTCCATCTCAGGATCGCACTCATATTTTCCGCCAGGCAACTCGCATTCTTTCACGCAGATTTTACCGGAATCGATGGAACAGACGGTGTCGTCCGGGCAAGTGTTGACTTGAGGACTCATTTCGGAACCATTGCACACCTGGAAGGTTGTGCGACTGGTGCAGACAAACATGTCAACTCCATTGCAGCTTCTACAGTTAACATCATTTTCTGGGCAGGCGGGAGTAACTCCTTCAGAAGGAGACCAACATGGAACAAGCAACTCGGTGCAGATCTTGTCATTGCCACAGGGAAGAGGGCCATCCTTTAGGGGCACACCATTAACGCAAACTTTGAAATGAGTGGTGTTCAAACAGGCCACATTGTTTTGCATGCAACTACCGCACGCAGATGAGGAAACTGTGACCAGCATAGAGCTGAAGGCCAGAATGAGGAACTGAAATAAGTTGAGTATGTTTAAGGAATGAATTTGTTAAATACCGCCTTGCTTACCAGAGTTGTGAGCCAAGGAGACTGCTGCATTTTGGTTTCTTGATTGAAATGTTCGGCACAAGAGTGAAAGACTGACTAATGATAAGTTTCAGCGAATGCCACACATTTATATCATCCATCCAGTGCCTAAAGAAAAATGTGTAGTTGTTCTAAGAAATAACAGAATTAACAACAATTATATATGTAATATAAAATAATAAATATGATGGGCTTTGACTTGTGCAAATAATAATGTTGACAATTGTTGGGGCTTTATAGCATACATACATTAATCTGCAACAGTAGCTGGCATATTTATGGATGATGTTGCATTGAAAGATAAAAATTCTGGATTCGTCGTGTCATAAAGATAATGCCAGATGGAGCAAGCATTTAAAAGGCATGAGAACAACATCCAGATACTTCACTTACAAAACTGAAGATGTCGAGGCTCCTACAAATTGAACGAATAGCCCTTTTGGGCGCACTCCTGCTGTCAGTGTCAACAGTCTACGTGGAAGCCGTCTGCGGGGAATGTTACCTCTCGCACTCCTGCATCAGCAACACAACATTCCGGCTTTGCTATGATGGTAAGTACGGTAACAACAACCATAGTTATGACGATCTCTAACCTTTGTGCTACAATTTAGGAGTCCCAAAAGTGGAACACACATTCGACTGTCCGGATGATAAGCCCGTTTGCACCATGTTTGGCGATCGTTGCGCTTCCAAGGGCACTCCTTCGGCCTGTGGGGATATTTCCACATGTGCACAATGCGACAACTCTCAAATGTACGCCTGTGACTCACTACACACATTCGGAATTTGCGATAGGGGTGTACTCTTGCCGGAGAGAAGTACATGCCCTGAAAATTCGTTCTGTAGTGTTTCGGGAGCTTCGATTGGACTACCCTGTGTTTTTACTTGCACTCCGGAGGATGGCAACACTTGCGATAGAGTTGACAAAAATATAAACATTCCTCCAACTACTACCACCCCAACTACTACCACCCCAACTACTACCACCCCAACTACTCCAGCACCACCAACGAATGGGAACGCTTTCTGTCAAAATAATAAGAAGGCCGGTCGCTATGCCATTCCAAATGATACAGTTTGCACCAGGTAAGCTTATTGATATCCTATTATTTTTGTTAATATTAAGATAATTAATGTGTTTTGTTTCTTACAGCTTTATCAATTGCTTCTTTAGAGCCAATATCTGGCAAGGTACATTGAACACTTGTCCACCAGCAAATCCATATTTCAATGCGGTCACCTTATGCGGTACGGTGAAACCAACTACCGCCGGTTGCAAGTAATTGTCGCATGAATAATAGTCGTTGTATGAATAATTTCAAATATATATTGACAATAAAGAGTGGTTTTCTCAATTAGATATAGTCAAGATTTCATAGTAATATATTACGATAGTCTAGTAAGCAATATAATAACCTGAAAAATTATAAAACCATACAAATCTAGTTACAAATAGACAAACACACCAACAAATATTTGATTTTTTTATCTGGCCTGAATATGACCATTTTACATCATATTATTTCCCGGCTACTATTTATCATATCGTGTGCACACACCACTGACTCAATCTAGGTTGTTGCATTGGCTAAATTACCGACACTTAAAAAATGTGGCATACTTTAAAGGGCATATTAAAGCTCTAACTTCTAATCCTTGCAGATTTTCGTATGGCATAGTGCGTTCGAATCGCAAGGACATCCTCTATGCGACTGCATTAAAAAATTATATATATTAAGAACACTACTACATATATAACTCGCCAGTCAATCAAAAATTCTTTTAGGATGTGGCATTTAGGTACCATATACACCATAAAAAAAAAAGTGTGCGACCTTGAAGCGATTTCTTCTTAACTAATTGATGATGATGTGTGAATTTTGATGAAAAGCTTGGCTGAAAAAATATCATAAATTCAAATAAAAGATAAAGTAAATCGTTTAATGCTGGAGCTAAACTTAAAATAGACTTCACTTAAGCCACTTATCTTAAGCCAAAACTTAAGTAGTCATAGGACTAGATAGCTAATGATGATTTGGTAAATTATAATTTAACTGAAGCTCAGATGGCCAATTCCAGTTTGCAGCTAAAAATTAGTTTATATATATCTAATTCGGGATTGATAGCTATAACATAAGTGGTTAAACTTTAAATTTAATATATCATACTATTTACATTCTCACATGCAGAGCGCAGCTAAAAAGATGCTGAAAAAGAAACTACCATTGAGTTGTTGGTCAACGGCCGGTATCTACTCAAGTGTATCATTATGACAAAAAGATAGTTCTCTAAGCACACTGCTCATTATCGCAGTGTTAGGTTTTTGTTTTATGCTGCGATCATAAGACAGCCCAAGGCAATCAAGTGGAAAGCCAAAGCAAATAAAACAATTAGCATGCTCAAAATATATGAAGAGTAGATAAACATAGAAAATTTCACTACTCGAAAAACACGGTTTATAACGCAGCAGCGAAGAGATTAATGTACTTTAGTAGACCCGAAACCTTGACAGTGAACAGAAGTCGACATTGAGAAGACAACGAGGATACAAAACTTATCACAGCTCTAAAATGGCTACAAAAGCTACAAACTATGCACCAGTTCTTATCGTGGTGAGCACATTTCTAAAGGATATATGAAAGTGATGTGATATTAAAATACTCTTAAATAAAATATAATAAATAGATCACATTAGCGTTGACTGTGGGTCATGTCATGTCGGCGTGCAATGTTTGCCAGACCAATCAGGCTGCCTGCATCAATTCCACATCATTTTACTTGTGCTTTGGAGGTGAGTAACTAAATATTTAAAAAATACTTGAATAAAGGAGTGAAAATAATATCATTTAGATGCAATGCCTCACACGGACCATGTTTACACTTGCCTCGATGGCTTTGAGTGCACCGACCGGACAGCGATTTGTTTGCAGAAAAATGCTCAGAGGCCTCCCAGCTGTGGGGATACCAGCAAGTGTGGACTCTGTAGTGCTCATAGAAACTATAAGTTCGCCTGCCACAGCAAACGCACTTTTCAAATGTGCTACGGTGCCGCCCGGCCCGTTGGACCCCTGGGCACCTGTCCAGAGAACACAGTTTGCGATGCCACCAGCGACTTGGTCTGTGTGACTCCAATAACTGGTCAACCCCTAACCTGTGACATAAACGATGATTTGGTGATCACGAGCAGCACAAGCACCACGAGCAGCACAAGCACCACGAGCACCACAAGCACCACACCCAAACCCACGGACGGACCTCCGCAGACAGCGCAGCAAGTGTGCGCGCAAAAGACTAAGTCGGGTCTCTATGAGACAGTGCCTAGAGATCCATATTGCAAACGGTTAGAAGATCTATGCAACTACATAAGCTTTAATCTCTTTCTTATAGTTTTTATTATATTTTTGTCGTTTCAGTTACATTAGCTGCCACATTACCGCTAAGAAAATAACAGCTAGGGAATATGGCTGTACTGCTAGCAGCTTCTTTGATGCGGAAAGACAAAGCTGTACTACCGTAGCACCACTTGAATGTACTGTATTATTTTAAGCTTCCATAATATAGTATTATCAATGATGGACTTTTTGACAGCAGTACTCGATAGTAATTGGGTTTGAGTTGGCAGCAGTCAGTGATATTTAAAAATTATAATTATATGTTGTACAATATGTAATTAGATCAGTTCGACACCGTTGAGGCTCAACCTGGCCACAGCACGGGTGCAGGTGGCGGGCAGGCCCGTCTGACATCTCTTGGTGGAGCTGTTGTAGTAGGTGTTGCCTGGACAGGTGTACATGTTACCCAGCCACCTGCCGTTCAGCAGATGACAGTAGATATATTGGCGACATGTGCTGCTCGGATTAGTGCCAACGGGAAAGTAATCCTGTGACTGCATTTTTGCGCAGTAGGCATTCGGATTGCTGGTGGTCGGTGCCACCGTTGTCGTTGTTGTGGTTCCGGTTGGCGTGTAGCAATTGCCAGGCATTGACACAGCACACAGTCCGGTGGTGGGATTAAAGTACGTTTTGCCTGGACATGTGTACTTCTGGCCTCTCCAAACGCCATTCAACAGGAAGCATTTGATATACTGACGACAAGTGGTTTCAGCATAATCACCCACTGCATAGTTGCCCGGTGCTTTGACAGCGGCGCAATAGGTGGCTGCATTGTCGGTCGATGGGGTTGGAGCTGGTGTGGCTGTTGGCGGCGTTGCTGTTGTTGTTGTATCATCTGCATATGAGCAGGTGGGACCGAATTGTGTTTCCAGTCCACAAATCTGATCATTCATATTGTTGCACACATAACCAGGAGAACAGGAGCCCAAGGAGTTCTGTGGCGTAGTCGTGCCGAGGCAGAGGGCGAAGCTGTTGGTTCCTGTGCAGGCGAATGTATTCGTTGCATCACACTTGTTGCAGTCCTGGCAATCACCAATGCTCCCACTGGCTGTGGGCCTGCACAAGACGCCGGATGCTCCACTCACACAGACATAGCCGGGTGGACAGTTGAATGGTATGCGAGTGGGTAAATTATTCGCATCGCAAGCCTGAATTTGGTCGACCGCATAGCAGGCCATGCTGTTGACAGAGTTGCAAACATTGCAGGCGCTTCTGACGGAGTCCACCAAGAAAATCAGAAGCAGCAACCAGTTCAGCAGTTGAGTGTCTTTCGTTGACATTTTCATAGTGCATACGCTTCTCTCTCTGGTTTTTGACTATTGTGCGCAGAGATGCCAACTTTAAATAGTAAATTCCGGTAGCAAGTTAGGGCTTTACCTTGCTTTATCCCCCAATTTAGATAAGATAGACAACCTTGTGTTGTGTCATACTTTGGGGCAGCAGCGAATTGCTTTTGTTATCAAAATAGTCGTATACAAATAATAAAATCTCTGTTTATTTTGCTGTTTCTTTTTGTCAGATTAACTTGGAATGCAGTTAGCATTATTCATTTAAAAGCTTCTACACTGCATCGATAGTTGTAGTTGCACTTCAAGATGCGGCGATTATTGCCACTAATTCTAGGAGTCGCATTTGGCATCCTTGGCAGCCGGGCTGTTTGTAGAACTTGTGGCTCGGTTAGTGATGTTGCCTGCATTTCTGAGACGCAATTTCAGTTTTGCATGAACAATCAACTCGTTGCACCTGTGTACTCCTGCCCCACGGGTAGCTATTGCACCAACCAGATATCCATTTGTCAAAAGAACGAAACACTCAAGGCTTGTGGCAGTTGTGGTCAGTGTGATAATCAGCACAGGTTTGCCTGCACTGGCGTTCGCAGTTTTGCTCTGTGCCTGGGCACAAATACCTCAAGCAACTGCACAGGCATCTGTGATCTGGGTTATGTTTGCAATAGGGACTTACATTATATCTGTGGCAATGCCCAAACGACAATACCCACCTGCACAGTGGCACCAACAATAACAACAACAACAGCAACAACGACAACAACAACAACATCAACAGCGAGCACAACAATATCTCTCGATAATTTTTGTCGTATATCTTTCCATGGAGTTTCCATCCATGCGATTCCCAATGACACACAGTGCACCAGGTAAGCCAGATATATTTTCCATCTGAAATTATAATTTCTAACTGCTGTTCTCAGTTACATCAATTGCAGATACTATATACAGTCGTGGGTAGGCCGCATTGTTGATTGCCCGCCAACGGAACCCTATTTTGATGGCACGACTTTGTCTTGTGGTAACTCGAGACCAACTCAACCTGGCTGTCGGTAATTTTATATGTTACATTTTCAATATTATATGAAGCTTATATTTCTCGTACAATTTTAATTGCTCTGACTTTGAATAAGTTTTGTGTATCGGTGTCTGTGTAGATAAGATCATAAACTTACGAAAGCAATTGAAGTCTTTGTGACAGCTGCGAAAATAATATGTTAAATAAACAAAATACAGCATACCTTTAGGCAGTTTTTTAATTGTCTTTAGGCAGTTTTTTAATTGTCTACCTTTACAATATTAGTTCAAATTCCAGATTTGCAGCAGGTACAGCACTGCAATTAAAGATGCTCCATAAAATTGAGCTATTTAAACAAAGATTTGATAAATGACTTGATTATGAATAATGCTTATCTAGTTGACATATACGATTAAGTCAGATATAACTGCACCTGCACTGCACTTGCCACTTTCAGTTGTGTGCCGAGATGTTGAGCCTGCTACTGCTACTGATCGGAATCGGAATCCTGGGTCCAGGTTGCCAGGCCGACTGCAACGTGTGCTCCGCAATCACAAATATTGCCTGCCTTTCGGAAACACAGTTTGCGTTCTGTGAAAATAACGTACCCCTGAAACAGATCCTCAGTTGTCCATCGGGCACATATTGCACCGCAGGGCCGCAAATTTGCCACAAAAATTGTGCTCTACAATCATGCAACGCGTGCGGACGATGCAACGAGCAGAGGACATTTGCATGCTTAGGCGTTCGCACGTTTGCTCTATGTTTGGGTACCAGCAATGTATCACTCATTACTGGCCACTGTCTGCCAAATTATGTTTGCAACTATCAGGATCCTAACATATGCAGCTCAGAAATTGGGTTCCCGGCAACCTGCCCCCTTGCTAATGATGAGTTGTTGACGACTAAAGCGCCAGAAACTCTCCAGGATCCCAACACATACTGCAAAGCTATTCGGCAGGCTGGTCGCTTTCCGTATGGTAACAGTTTGAATACCACATGTAGATACTACATCCAGTGCTATGCGTCCAGATTTGTCTGGTACGGTTCCCTGCTTCGGTGTCCGGGCGAAACCTATTACGACCCCATGTTAAGGACCTGCACCACCAACATTCCAGCCACATGCCAGTTACGAATCATGGACTTGCAGATTGAAAATCTTCGATTGTTATAAGTGCTTCAAGAATCGATACTAAATGCCAAGAATGTTGAATGCTGATAAAAAAAAAAAAAAAAATATTTGAAAAAATTATGTATATATAAATAAATGGTTGATGGGAATTTGCTTTAAGTCTTTTGATTATATATCACACAACGGTAACTAAATCAATAATAAATTAGCTTAATCTCTCTGCTTTCGACTTATTTAAATACCACTAATACGATTTTGAGCTTAAAAAATTGAGTATTTTCCAAAGTCCGCAGACTTTATTAATAGGTATTATTCATAATTTTTTTTAGCCATTCTCTTTGCCTTGGCTGAAGTGTTTGTCTAATTCTTAAAAGATTTTACACGCCTAATATTTCGTATTTTTGCTAGATACTATAAATTACGGCGCAAAGAAAAACACAAGCGTTTAGTGGTTAAACAGAAACGCCTACAACGAGATTATCGCATTGTCATATGACAGACATATATGCGTATATATATTTATAGTCTGTGTTTACTATAAATAGATGGGTTGCCAACAGTCAACAGGGCCTAAGCCAAAAATATTTCGCATTCATATTTCGGCTCGATATTTTGTGGAAGTTCAGCGTTTCCCAGCGCAAACCAAAATTACATGCCACACGCGGCAATCATGCATGCCACAGCCCCCCTTACCCAATCAATTGAATTGCATAGTTTACACGTAGCTGAAGCCAAACCATATAGATGCGTGTTTGGATGCAGCTTGCGCTTCGGGCATTCGGGGCGTGTGAAATCGAAACCATTGAAATTGAAAACACTCAATGAAAACTTTTGTGGCCCAGCCTTGGATTGAAATGCATTTCTCTGGCCTGCAATGGAGCCTGGCCTGGCCAGGCCAAGCCCCTACCAAAATTTGTGCTTCCCCTGCGGCCACGCAACTGACCCACATCAGTGCCAGGAACGAGGGCCCAGCAACGCCAGCAACACCAGCAACGCTTGTAAACGATTTTTATGGCATGTGGCAAAAAAATTTTTGGTCGACAACAAAAAAAAATGAGAGCACATTTTGTAATAGGGCGCGAGCACTCGTTTTGGGCCACAAGTTCGGGCCAGGCCAGTCAGAGTTTTCAAGGTGCAACTGGCAACACGGCGTATGCGTCATAAATGCCATAACAGGCAGACGCTGTGGGCAAAATTGAAAAAAGCAATTAACATGCTTTTTTCGTGCTTATATTTTAAAGTTGAACCCAAAAGAATTAATAGAGTAAAGTGTCTAATACAGCAATCACCTCATGCAAATGAAAATTGGTTGACAATATCTATGAGCTATATTAAATATTTCCCATTCAAAGAATGGCACAAAAAGCGAAAATTCTGCAAAAGAGAGCCAACTCTTTAACAAAGCAATTAACTTATGAAAACGGCCAAGGGCTCTATAGAATAAAGGTAAACTTTGAATAACTTTGTCAAAATGACATGAAACGTTAAATTTTCTGACATCTGGCAAATATTGTTGTTTTTAGTTGACGATGTAGTCGATATAGATCAGATTTTGTTGATTAATCTTCCAGTAAATATTAAGTGACATTAGCGATATTAGTGTAGTTATAATATGCCAACAAGAGTTCTGTCAATATGTAAATGCAAAGCGGCAATTTCAAGCAGCTCGAGCAACTCGTGCATGGCTTATAATCTCTTAAAGTGCTCATGTTAGTTTTGGCCAACTTTGTGCGTGCCTCTGTCATCTATCTGGGCCCCAACTATGAAAGTGCTTTATGTTATTCTAGTGCGACAACATCAACAGTCAACTGTCGACGTCATCATCATCCTTGCCTGGCATCAAGTGTAATAACTGCACTCATCGCTGATGAATTCATTAATTATTTCTTTCTAATAGAAACAGCAAGTGGCTCAAACATGTTGTCATGGGCCCCGGTAGTATGTCGAACTAATTAGATTGTATGCATTGAGTTTTGTTCCAGTTGGCTGCTGAATTCGATTAATGCCTGCTGCCATAATCTTAAAGTTATATAGAGCAGAGCGAAAACTCGAGTGGAGTTATGAACTCCTTTCATCTCAGCTTTCTGTGCAAAATCCTTTCACCAGACAACTTTATTTTTGCCCAACAGCTCGCAGCTTTTTTTTTATGTTATTTATATATTCCTGTTATCATTAGCTTAGCAGAACTCGTACAGTAAAATGCGCTCGAAGGCCATTAAATGCAGGCGAGCAGCCCGCCTCAGTGTGTAACCGAACAACAAAAACAATAACCATAACAACAAACAAGAACTTTAGAACTAAGGGTGCCTCTGGGCTCTGAGCTGTCATATTCTCATCTCGGCTGCCTGGCTTAAAGCAGCATCTACCACATATAGTAGTTTATATATATATATATGTATATATATATATTCATATATGCACATATGTATAATTTGTGGAATGGGGGCAATGGCACAGAGAGCAGCATGCAGAGAGTCTATTTAAATAGCATACAACCCACTGCTTTGCATATGAGTGGGTTGTGTGATGCGGGTGGCTGCTGCAACTGTATTCTGTATTAGACGATGGGCTTATTTAATTTCTTCTGCCACTGTTGCCACTGCCCTTAATTAAAGTTCCATTTTCATTTGTTATTTTGGCTCTTGGCAGCGGTCGGCGAAAGCTATAGAGTGGCGCCTGCCTGGGCGTCGACCCACCGCAACCTACCAGCCACACACCCACCCACCCAATCACCCGTCCACCCACTTCACTTTGACCACCTGCTGTTAAGCGTTGGCTCTGCAACTGTCGTTTTGCTGGCTGCAATTAATTAACTTCGCCTCGCTTTATTCATTGAGCCAACTTTATAAACAAATTCACGTTTTCACCAAGTGCGTGCTGCTGCTGCTGCTGTTTTGTTTATGCACCAATTGGGTTAATCACTAAAACTGTGGATTTGATGGCTGTTTCTGGTTCTGTTTACTTATTTCCTTTTTGGTCTTAGCTATTATTATGCCAATCGATATGCTAGTTTATGTCCTAATGCCCAGCAAGAGAAGATTATAGATATTTTGTAATAGATTTAAAAGTTTATTTTGGGCATTGTTTGTATTAATAAATCTGCCAACTGTTTGGCTGCCTACCTGATTATTTCTGCTCATAACTTTTCAATCTGTTCATTTCATCGCTGCTAATGCGATTTCCATGTGCAATATCCATTTTAACTTTTAATTATAAACGTGTCAAAATTCGAACATGGCTCAATATCGAAGCCTATTACAAGGCACGGTAACAACAACAATTACATTAGGGTCGGACTGGTTGGTTATGGTTTGACTTGGTTTGGTTTGGTTTGGTTTCGTTGTCAGGTCAAGTACACGTGCATGTCAAAAACTTTTGACATAGCCATGTGATGGGGTCAAAGTTGGCGCCGCCCCACAAGCAAACTCCAAACAGCGAACACTCCCTATTATATACTGTGGCATTGTTGTGGCATGCAAACTCAATCCCAGAGTTCATGCCACGCCACGCCACGCTATGCCCACGCCCACACCCACGCGCACGCCCACAAGAATGCAGTGCACAATACCGCAGAGCAGGAGCAGAGAATGCCTGGCATGTGTCGTCGGAAGCAGAAGGAAGGAAGGAAAGCTGCATTGCAATGGCCTGGATAGTTTACGGGGGTATTGAGGGGAGATAGAACCGCCAGGAAATGCGCATAATGAAGCGCTATGTGTGTGCAAAATGTGCCACATGTAGCAGGGCTGTGGCAGTCAGAAGCCACTGTCATCGCTCAGTCAAATGAATGACTGACTGACTGACTGACTGACTGATGGGTCGACTGATGGACTAACTGACAAACTGATATGCAAAGCCTTGGCCAGAATCCACCAGGCGTCAATAATGCGGCAACTGCATCCTGTTGACAGAACTCTTATGATTGCGCCTTTTGTTGAAAAACTATGAGCTTGCCACACGAATTGAAAAGCAAATGCGGTGAATAATTATAAATAAATGCAAAAATGACTTAAATTAAAATATGATAATCACTTGAAATAACTTTAAGCTGAGCAGGCTTGCCAAAAAGCAGTTGCACTTTTCGATACAACTTAATGTTTGTGCTTAAAAACGTTGTCGATTTCAATTTAATTGTTCATAATGATTGGTTTAAAATTGTGCATTGAATTGCAACGCATTTATTTAACGCATAATATATAATTGTATAATTTAAATTTAAAGGTCATCACGAATCAATAATTGCATTCGATTTGCCTTCACTCGAATCGCTGGCAAGTGATTTGAATTAAAAATAGTTTTTGAAGCTTATCAAATCGCTTTAAGACCGTTAAAGCTTTTGCCGTAATTTGCATATTGAATGCATTTCCATAACTTTGTTTATTTCCACAACTACCTTTTTTCAGAAAGCGCCCTGTGGCCAGCTGGCAGGAAGATAAATTGTTTACTGGCGAATTGTTTTTGCTTCCTGCTGTGTTCTGACAAGGTGCTAAAATATTTGCACTTTAATATTATTTTATAATGTTAACCGTGCTGCGTTTTTAAAAAGGAATATTTATTTTTGCCATGCAATAATTTCAATTTGAATGCTTTCAATTTATTTCAATTGGGCTTACAAATTCGAGCATAGATTGATTTCCTTAAAAACGGGTAGACAATTTAAACCTCAGATACATTCACAATTCAATGACTAAAACTATTCGTGACTGAGCTCAATTACTCTCTGTCTAACTGTAGCATTAAGTAAGCAGTATAAAAATATTACAATAAGTGTTCATACAGACGTATCTTTTCCGTCATAAAGATGCATAATAATGATAAATGTATCTAAGCCATGATCAGGCTGCATCACTTATAAGTATCAGCGTCAACTTTTGTTTAAGTGGCCATAAAGTGTCACAGTCAAAGCTCAATCAGCAATGCGCATAAATAACACACAGCCGAACCGTTTAAGGAATGCGGAACATCATCTGTGTATATGTTATGACAACGAGCCACACAGCAGTTGATAAATCAACAACAATAAGCCAAATGACTAGTGTAATTTGTTGAAGATGCTACGCCCATTTGACGACACGATCATTTTGTAAATTGCAATTGCAATTGCAACATCAACAGCAACAACAACAACAAAAACAACCACAACAATA